GAAATCGATCGACGCTGTATAAAACAAAGTTTGTAGTAAGGATACGAGTACGTGATGTTAGGCTTGTTTTAAATGTCAGAAATATTGGAAAAGAATGCTGAGTAAACAAATTTATATCGTAAAATACTTGTGAAGTTAGGCTGGTGGAAGCTTAGCAGCAATGCGAATAGCCATTATTAGCCTGACAATGGTAAGTACTGAAAATTAGCAATAAGGCAGTCCACGTTGAGCAGACTGTAGTATAGGACATTGTTCGCGCGCTTTGGTTATCATTTATCATCTCGGATTCAATGATTATTGAATGATTCTAGGATTTAATAATTGCGGATGATTCTCTAATTCAATGATTCTCGATGATTCTCGGATTGACTATAATTCGAGACTGTTGTGATAAAACTAAGCATGCGAATGCGGGTAGAAATTTCTACTAACAGCTTACCTTTAGCATTGCGGGTAATAAGTACCGGTGGTTGTTATAAAGTGCCCACTTTCCGCTACAGGGCTACACGACACGACCCTTTGCAGCAATGAGGCTAAGCTGTAGCCCAAGATACAATATAAAATGCACTAGACGGCAACATAAACGTCACGACTTTTGCCGACCACTCTAAAATCGAACTCACTGTAATTTGGCGAGATTGGGCCGTTTATCGAACATCACCGAACCAAAAACCCAAATAAGCGGCCATGTCTGGTTCAAGTAGCGGCCGCGCTAGAGACACGTTTGCTACCGTTTTCTAACACTGTGGTTCGTATAGCCAGCCCTATATAGTGGGAGCGAATGGATACACAACGTATATAGCGCAACGTATGGTCATGCTCATGAATAATTAAGAACATAATTGTCCGTGAATGTGAATATAACGATGTGTCGTGTACGTTTATGGGTCGTTGGCCGGCAACGTCTCCAACCGGGTATACATATTCATACCGCTAAACCCCCTTAATCATCATGACATTTGTGCATTAGTGCATCCATTTAGCACAACATACGGCGCCTATTGCTGACATTCTAACGGGCGCGTAAATAATGCATTTGTGTGCACACACGGTCAATAGAGAGCCTCTTGAAGTTAAACATCCCCACTGCACAAGGTATATAGCCATGTATTGCCGTAACTTGTGTTTTAAGCGGCTAATATTATTCGTTAACGAAACGATCGTCATAACGGATCGATAGTTTTTATACGGGTTTCCTCATACTACTGAGTCAACTGCTATTTATGACCACGGTTCCATTCTTTTAAGGGAGAAACAAAACTGTTTTCTATTCACAGCATCTGACTAGGAAGAAGAACGGCGTCGGACTGTAGGAGTGGCTCTTTTTCACAGCCGAGTCAGATAAAAACGCGCACGCTCGCAAATACAAACGCGCACGCACGCAGATACGAACGCGGACGCACGCAGATACGAACGCGCACGCACGCAGATACGAACGCGCACGCACGCAGATACGAACGCGCACGCTCGCACGCACGCAGATACAAACGCGCACGCACGCACGTACGCTCGCAGATACAAACACGCACGCACGCAGATACAAACGCGAACGCACGTACGCAGATACACAATACGCACGCACGCACGCACGCACGCAGATACACAAGCGCACGGACGTAGATACGCACGCGCGCTCATGCATTCAGCCAGACGCGCTCACGCATGCATAATATGTAATCAAATGCTTCAATCTGTATAATTGGTGGGACTGATAGTCATCACCATGCATAGCGACGAACCATTATATATATATTTTGCCATGTATTATAGTAGCCATAATAACTGTTTTTGTAATAACCTTATAGGTGAGTAAGTAATGGGGTCTTTTGTTGGACATGTGATTCCCGGTTCCATGTTCTTCCTGGGTGCCACTTGGTGGACTATACAGATATGTTACCACTACATACTCTCAAGGTACGTCTATGTAATTTTTTTGAAATAATTTCATCGGCTTCTATTGTGATATTAAATATTATAATTTCAGAATAAATCAATTTTGTACATACTCGATCATTTTAACTGCCAATCTCTTGCTGTTGTCACACTGCGTGGTTCGAAACTGTTGTGCCGGTTACAAATTAGCAGCAGAATTTAGAAATAGAATGGCGAGTAGAAGCAGAATTAGCCCCAGTTTCACATTTCTTGCACGAAATGTACCAGTAACTATCTACATGTAATTGTGCTAATAAGCCGGGCGCACAGGTGGCGATTTTTATCGCTAGTACTGGCGATTTTTATCGCCAGTACTGACGATTTTAATCGTCACGTGTGCGGGACCCGGCGACAACAATTCAAATTCAATTTGATACTTTTCAATTTCACATTTCAACAAGCTCATCCTCCTGCTTTTTTCCCACACCAAGGGCGCTGCCATATTTGATCACGTGTTTCAAATCATGCATTTGATTAGTTAATCCAAAAACTGTTAGCCTGAATTCGTCGCTAGGGCAGCGCACACGCTGGCCGATTGTTCAGCGACTCGGTAACAAATTATATAAAACATAACTCAGTTTGATATTCCAGCGACGAGTTTCTGGCGTCAAAATCGCCATCGCCATGCAGCGCACATGCACGTGGCGATCTCTCGGCGATTCTGTCGCCGACAACAAAATCGCCAGTAGGCCTACTAGCGATAAAAATCGCCACGTGTGCGCCCGGCTTATTATATACGGACTGAGTAATATATCTTTAAGCCCGGCGCACACGTGGCGATTTTTGTCGCACGAACCGGCGATTCTGTCGCCAGCAACAAAATCGCCGAGAAATCGCCACGTGTGCGCTGCCCGGCGTCACGGATTTTGACTCCAGAAAATCGTCGCTGGAATATCAAACATATTTGATATTTGTTGCCCAGTCGCTGAACAATCGCTGCGTGGTGCGCCGCACTGGCGATGCGATCCGGGCAACAGTTTTTGGATTAACCAATCAAATGCATGATTTGAAGCACGTGATCAAATATTGGCAGCGCCCGTGGTGTGGTTTGAACAGGTCACGTACAGTTCATACAATGGTATGTCGCTGACAGACGGTTGAATTGTCGCCGGGTGGCGCACACGTGGCGATTTTCATCGACAGTACATTTAATTTTCTCCCTATTCCGCACGCCTTGTCATTCTAATTTCTCGTTCTACATTGCGCCGATTTTGAATGAAAGAAATAATTAATCGCTGTTTTGAATATTTCGCTCAGACAGAGAACAGGAAAGCCATTCCGATGCCAAGTGACATTTCCAGGACCCGGAAAACTCAAACATATCCCGTTTGAAGGAATCGTCAAGCTTGTGCTGTGTGGCTCTGGCATAGCCGGTGAAGTAATCACGGGTACGTATGTGCGCAAAGGACACCACCGCATCGAATAAATAGCCAACAGGAGCAGTTAGTCATTAAGCCCTTCTTTACCCCGAACATTAGTTTTGCTCCCCGGTAGTAGTTAGCTATTAAGCACTTTCTCACCCAGAAGTTTAGTGTTGTTTCCTAGTAGTTAGTAATGAAGCACTTTCTTACCCGAACATTGGTGTTGTTTCCTAGTAGTTAGTAATGAAGCACTTTCTTACCCGAACATTGGTGTTGTTTCCCAGTAGCAGGGGCGGATCTAGCTTTGAGGAGAAGGGGGTGATATTTGAGCGAAGGCGTGCCGAAGGCACGCGGTGCTAGGGTGGTCCGGGGACATGCCCCCTCCCACCTGGAAAATTGTTTACATTTGAAGTGAATGTGCAGTGAATGCTCCCAGTTGAAAAAATATTTTAATGTTGAATGTTGGAAGTTTGGATTACGTGCGTTATTCTTATTGGTACTTGTAAAGAAACTACTACATACCATGATTGAACACATGATGTTAGTGTTACACCCGGGTGTTACATTATTATTTCTGTAAGCTAATTTTATTTATGTTACTAAATGCACTTTGGTTTACCAGATATACGTCTAGCTCAAATATATATGCTCTCAACTGAGACAGTTATCCTTCTTCTAAGACTTTAGCACTTAGACTCTAGACTTTCAGAGTGTTAAGACAAGTTATTTTCTACAAATTGCTCTCGCGCCAAGTTTAATACATTACGAACATACATGCCCTATGAGCATGCGCACTCGTTAGATCGGGAAAATACGGCGAACTTGAAAGTGTAAACCGTTACTCGGCAACCTCGACCACGTGACGGGGCGTGACTCAAGAAGATGTATAGGTCCGTAGGAGTTATATAGTGCTCCCCCAATGTGACAGTGTTCAGGATCTGACAGTTCATGCAGCTGCGTGGTTATAGGGGAAATACCTAGTTTCTATCAGCCTGCAGACTGAGTTTTTTTTATTTTTGGCCCCATTTACTAGTATCATAACATTAGTCAGTGGCTGAACGGGGTGGGGGGTTGGAACCCGCCCCCAACCCCCATCTAGATCGACCACTGAGTAGTAGTTGGTCATTAAGCACCTCCTTATCCGGAACATTAGTGTTGTTCCTCATATTTAGTTACTAAGACCCTCCTTACTCTGAACATTAGTGTTGTTCCCCATATTTAGTTACTAAGACCCTCCTTACTCTGAACATTATAGTGTTGTTCCCCATATTTAGTTATTAAGACCCTCCTTACTCTGAACATTAGTGCTGTTCTTCATATTTAGTTATTAAGACCCTCCTTACTCCGAACATTAGTGTTGTTCCTTATATTTAGTTATTAAGACTCTCTTTACTCTGAACATTAGTTTTGTTCTTTATATTTAGTTATTAAGACCCTCCTTACGCTGAACATTATTGTTGTTCTTTATATTTAGTTATTAAGACCCTCCTTACTCCGAACATTAGTGTTGTTCCTCATATTTAGTTATTAAGACCCTCTTTACTCTGAACATTATTGTTGTTCCTCATATTTAGTTATTAAGACCCTCGATATCCTTACTCCGAACATTAGTGTTGTTCCTCATATTTAGTTATTAAGACCCTCCTTACTCCGAACATTAGTGTTGTTCCTTATATTTAGTTATTAAGACCCTCCTTACTCTGAACATTAGTGTTGTTCCTTATATTTAGTTATTAAGACCCTCGAGCCTTACTCCAAACATTAGTGTTGTTCCTCATATTTAGTTATTAAGACCCTCTTTACTCGGAACATTAGTGTTGTTCCTCATATTTAGTTATTAAGACCCTCTTTACTCTGAACATTAGTGTTGTTCTTCATATTTAGTTATTAAGACCCTCTTTACTCCGAACATTAGTGTTGTTCCTCATATTTAGTTATTAAGACCCTCTTTACTCTGAACATTAGTGTTGTTCCCCAGTCGCACTAGTCATGCATTAA